GCAATTATGTTTAGTACAGATAAATAATTTAGTTAAACAATTAACGGAACATAGCGTTCACATTGAATTTTAGGAATTTCGGGTAACATGTCGATTAAGAAAGAACAATAGTTAATCGAAACGCGACAACAATTCGGTCCCTAATAAACCGATCATGCCAAGAGTACAAATTCCTGCAATGTTACTAATTAGGGTCACGAACGAACGACGCCAATCTGCATAATGGCAATATCATTTCATTTTCTTATCCGAGGATGTTTCGTGGAAACAATCTTTATTCGACAAACGATCGTCAACGAAGCACCGATTTACGCAACTGTACCCGGCGCAATTAGCATACTGGCGTATCAGCATCGCGTTTATTTCGTACATCAAGCATCGAAACATTGTAAACCCGCTACCGCACGAAAGATTCGAGTCGAGCCATTTACATCGAAATTACACGTTCGCAGCAGCAAATTGTTGCTCATTATCGGCATCCAAGAAAATATCAGCTTACTCTTTATATCACGCACTGCTACTCCCTGTATCTGGCCAACCATATACCATACTTAACGTTTTCCACGAACCTCTTCAGCTCGTGCGTATCGACATTCGGTTTTAAAAAGCGGTACGATGGGCCAACGCCCCGGTACACCTGCAGTTTAATTTTATTTCTCAATTACTCGAGTATTTCCAGCAGGGAGAGATCCGCCATAAGAACGAATCCAGTCTCGAGGGGTTGATTCGCGAGCGTCACCGAATCGTGTAGAGGATGAGAAAGTGGAAGGCAGCGGCAGAAGGAAGAAAAGGGACGTATCGGGAGTCTTCCTGGAGGGCAGGGATCGCAGGGTTTTCGCGGTGATGCTTGCCGCGGGGGTGAAAGCGGGCTTTTAAAAGGTTCCGATGGGAAACCCAGCAGGGCGTGAATGGCTCCAGACTCGCTGGAGGAGCCGCAACGGGAGAGGAAAGAGCCGGGGATAGAAGGTCGGTAGCTAGCTCGACGCAACAGTGGTGCGTGCACGGGGACACACACGCGGGATCGCACGCGTGTTGTCACGGCCTCGAGGTGTTCCACCACACCTTCTTCTCTTGGCTCTTTGTTCACGAAAGTTCGGTTTACCTCGTTCCCTTCTCTTGCCCTTTTTTCTCGCCTGTTTTTGCGCCACCTTCCGTGCCAACGACCATAGGTCTAGCTTCGCTGAAATAGAGAAACGACCAGATCCGAATGATCATGGCGAAAATGTTGCTTCGTTGATGGCTGATGGACCACAAAATTATTATCAATTTTCTGTATTTGATACTGGACAATTTCCACAAGAATTTTCTAACTGATGTTCTTTCTTTGTCACCAGCTGAGGAATATTCGGATGTTTCTATCACATATTCTATAGTTCATGATCTCGCAATCATCACCGTACTGATTAAGCATGACGTCGATGTATCGTCAAGATCATAATAACTGATGTGGATCTCGAGTACCCTCATGGTGGCAATACTTTATCGCATATTCAGCAAACAGGTTATAAAACGATGACTATCGGGATTAGCAGAAACTCGATTACACTCTAGGAAACAATAAGTAAATTTGTACAGCGGTAAAGTTTAACGTAGGTGCACTTGTGCAGATATATGACAACGAAGTTAAGCTCGAAGATTTTTCCTAGTAGCTCTATATTACCGTTTGCTCCGCGAACGTAAACTAGGCTTTATGGCTAGAATTGCCGCGCAAAGGGTTGTTGGAGATATACATATATCGCGGTAGGCTTCTCCTCGGTAAATTAGCTGGCGGTAAATGAGGATGAAATGAATCCCGGTAATTAATACGACAGAGGGCTCGCAGTTATTTCGAGTGAACGGAGCTTCGCGGTGGCACGGAAGGAGGAGGGAAGGGCAGATAGAGGGAGAATCCGTGTGGAAAACGGGGAGAGAAGAAACGGTTCGCGCACGTACTATCTTTTCTATTCGTAGAGAAGAGTGTCGAAATCGAGGGCCCGCCCACGGGAAACGGTGATAAATAGGACCAAGGAAAACATTATTTTTCTCGAAAGCGATGATTTTTCCCTCGGTTGCTTTGTTTTCACGAAACTGCGACGAGGAGAAAGAAACGGAAAAGAATTGGAGGAAATCGTGTCGCCAGAAAACGTTTTTTATAACGCGGTCCCCGTATCTCTTTTTCGCTTCCCTGACCCCTCTACAGCGCGGACGTGTTTACGAAAAACGGGATTCCACGTCGCGCTAAATAGTCGTAAGATATTTCGACGCCTGCTGACGGCGGCTACAAATTTCCCTTGATAATTTATCGCCGACCGATACTTAAATAGCGTCCCGCCGTGAAATTGGACGAGAACGCGGGCCGATCATCTTCTGGCCCGAACCCTTCTGCGCATTCGTATGCGACTTTTAATTTATTTTCATCAACAGCCACGTAACTTTCGCGCGAACGAGCTGTTGTCCAGACTCGATCCATTTCTTTTCGTATTTTACTTTCATTTATCAAACACGTATTTCCGTCCCGGAGCGAGGGATGCATCTTTTCCAAAATTGGCAGATCGATACGACCATGTTTAATTAATGACAGGAAGTGCACCGATTAAATTGCGTATTCATTAAAGTAACCGAGGCATTTATCAACGACCCAAGTAAAAAAGATATGGCTAGTCGCTGCACGATTATTCAAATGAAATGGAAGTTCCAACGCAGTTGAGTCGGAGTGGGTATCTCCGAAGGCGAGGCTGGTACTCGCGACGAAAGTTGCGAACAGAACTTGAAGCTATAACAGAGTTATTAACACGAGATTATTATGTAAGACAGTCTGTAATTAACACTCATTGACATTTATTATCCACCCGTTCATTTTCTTTCGCTGCGTAGTTATTTATGACATTTTCATTGAACTGTGCAACAGGTATCTCTGTGATTGCTACTGATAGACATGTCACTTTTTCCTTCGGTTTCTTTCACAGACGATGGTACGTTGTAGAAATTATTAACCTTAATTAAGCAGCTACCGTGGCGTTAGTGTCTCGTTCTCCTTGCTCGATATCGATCTCTTTTTCATAGAGTCGACAAGAATGCAAATTATGAACATGTTCGATCTCGCAGATACGATGTTCGAAAATGACATTGAATCTGCATCTCGATACGAGTAGGTACACAAGCCCGATGATCGAGAAACTTCGTTTTTTCAACGGGGAAACTATGCGTGTACAATTTCGATCAGTGCGACACCGTCAATTGAGCATTCGATGTTTAACACGAAACACGTTATGAGGTTACACAGTAATACATAGTTACAAACGTGTCATTCATTTGCATCTGTTTACCATTTTACCAGGACGATAACTCGGTAAGGTAATAGCTAATTCTTTGTTATATAAAACATGGAACGGTTTTTGTCCAGCTTGTAGCAATTATACGCGAAAACATGTACGTGACAAGATATTTGTTATCGTGATTTGACGTAACTGTTCCGTGTTAGCTTGTTCGAGCTTCTTGAATCGATAGCACACTTCGATTAGAACATTTCGGTAGACAACGAGGTTCTACAGAGTTTCAGAATGATGTAGCACAATTTTTACCAAAAACTCTTCTTATATTGCCGTGCTAATACAGTTTTGCATAGTCATTCGTTGTGCTACTACGACCATGTGCAATCTGCATTGCTGCAAACATTGCCACGTGGGTCAAGGAAACATACCAGTACCATGTTTCAAAAATGTCTACTGCGAAGGGGTAGGAAGTTTTTCGAACGAAAATGTAATATCGTTTAAAATTGAATATAAATAGCAAATCACGGGTTGAGTCATCAAAGACTCGACCCGTCATCGAGTATTAAGCAGGAATGGGCAAAGATATTTTAATCGTGAGTAATCTACGTTCGTTTTAATTTACCGCCTTTCGAGTACTTTCGTGTATGTACTCGCAAACGAACGTTCGCAGTAATTCGAGTTGTATCGTCGAATCGACCGGTCGATAAATTTCCATTTAATTTACTCAGCTAGTTGTCGAAAGCCTCGAATGGTGTTCAAGGTACTCTGGGCGTCGTTACACGAAATTACGTGACGATTATTGTTATCGAAGGTTCGCGATCGCGGGGGAACATCGATGCCAAACGTAATTCGAAAGGGAATATGTTTCGTTATTTTTTTGTTCTCTCCTTCCTTCTCCGTTTGATCGTTACAGCTTCTTTTATATGTTCGCGAAGGGGTTATAGTCTTACCGGCGTAGCCAGGACGAACCTTTTAAGAAATTAATTGTCAAGTGTCATCTGTGGCTTAATAACGAGAGAGATACCGCTATTCCTTTTCGATTATCGTCCATTAAAGTAACATGAAATTGCTATCGAGTTATCGGCCGCGCATATTTATAATCGGATCGGGCTGATAAGCGAATATCACCTGCTTTCGAAATTACAGCCATTATCGCCGTTAACCCCTTACACGAGACTTATTTTTATACTCGATTTTCTAGTTTAATCCGTAACTACATTCTCTATACCTCGAACAATACTTTTCTACGAAAAAATCAGAGTAGAAACAACGATGTATCGTTATCGGGAATTTCGCTAAGTAACAATCTTGTTTCCACTTATAAATATAATTAACTAAATGTAACTCTTTAAATGTAGCTGATAACGTCCCAGAAATCTGTATTTGACAAATATGTCATCCCGGTTCAATTTCGTTATCCGACTCATTTATCTTATTGTTTGACGTTGCTAGCACTTAAGATTTCATCGACGACATCTTAGCTACCTCTTATCTCCGTTTTTCGTCAAGAACATCGTTGTCCGATCGTTCTTGGAACCGGTGATATACGTAATTAACAACTACTCGGTAAATCGTGGGAATCATAACTATTACGTTTCTAGCGGGGAATCAGCGAACGGTGCACACAGGTCGCGGAGTAGGGGGCGCATAATTCGCCGGTGCACGAACGTTCGAGAGTCGGGAAATTACACGGGAGGGAATTACGGAAGAAATGAACACCTTGTTAATGAAAGACTGTAACCTTTTCAGCTGCTGGTGAGCGGCGGACAGCCAACGACGGCGACGTCGCCGGCGATGTCGTCGGGAGGTGCACTGAGCCCAGGTGCACTGTCACCGTCGTCGACGGCGACGACGACGGGCG